ACGAGTATTAACGGTATAAGGGGCATAGTTAAAGAGCTCGCGAGTAGGAGCTATATTACTTAATAAGGAAAAGTGGCAGGTATAGGTGTTTAGAAAGACGAGAAGGACCTTAAGAGCTTTATAAGATATAGTTTACTAATTATAGAATTCGATTTTAGGGGGTCGCCTTTCCTTTATATATATACGTTTTATAAGCTTACCTATACCTAGCAAGGAGCGTAGTAATAGCGCTTAGGTTACTAGTAAGCGCCGCCAGCGAATACTTAGGCGCTATAGTAGGCTAGGAACCGTTTACTATTTCCCGGCTTTCGCTCTATTAGCGATATAAGATTAAGTACTTAAGCTCTTTATTTAGCTAGTTAAGCCGCCTGGGGACTTGGCCTAGCGCCTGGGTGTGTATAGACCACCACTATACTATAGATCCCTCGCTTATATACCTAATCACTATATACGGTATATTTAGTATTGCGTTCCTTACTATTATCACTATCTTATTTACATCCTACGCTTCGAGATTTCTTAGGGGTTATCTCGCCTGCTTCCGATATTCCCTATTTATTAGATATAGCTCCTGGCCCGATATAACCAGGAACCAAAGTTATATTCTGCTCCTGTACTTTACGGTTAATGGCTAGGCGCTTAGCTTCTCTAATAATAATTCGCGAGACCTCTGTAGGAGATCTACGACGGTGGCGTCCATTAACCTAATAATCGCCTTCTTAGGAGGCAGGATAAATCCTTTCCTCGATTTCTTTAATATCTCCCTCCCGACATACTACCTTATTTATTACTAGGCCAGTCGCGTTACTACTATCTAAGCTATTCTTTATAGGGTATTAGTTTTACGCTAGGAGCGAAGTGCAGATACGCTAACCCTCTCTAGCTATATCGTACGTCTTCCTCTTCGTGGACCTTACCTTAGCTGACTTTGAATAAGCCGGGGGGAGCCTTATAACCATTTTCCTCTTCTCTCTATAGATCGCTAGGAAACTCCTAGGCTAATAGTTTAGTAGGCTTTATATCGTCTTATACCTAGGTGTTATAGGAGGACTAGTATATTACTTCCTAGGTGTATTAGCGCGAAGCAGGGCGGTTATTTATACCTTATAGGGCCTCTGGATCTCGTCTTATATCTTTAAATTTATCCGGTAAGCGGGCCGTAATAGGGTTATAGATAAGCTAGGGGGGAAGTAAGAAGCTAAATACTTCGGGGTGGTGATAAATAAGCCGATTAGAGTATTCCCGGGATACTACTTTTATATTTACTTACTAGGGTCTCTTCCCTTCTATAACTTACTCCACGGCTAGAGACTAATAGTCCTGTTATACGACGTAGTAGCGTTATCTGGAAAAATAGTGTTATCTGATATAAAAGCGTCCGTTAAAGCTATTAGCCTTACCTTTTTAGTATCCTAGTAAGGCTTAATAGCCGCGTTAGAACCTGGAAACCGAGTCTTACTCGACGGCCCGTATAGCTCTTATCTCGGGCTTTATAAGTTTAAGACGGTTATCCTTATAGCCAAAGGTATAGGCATTTTCGGCGTTTTGCCCTATACGCTTAAACTAGCCCCCCGAAAGCGTTATAACGACTAAGTCCGCGACGAATCTTTACGTTTTCGTGACTTAACCGTATTCGTCTTTCGCGATACTACCGCTAAAGTCGATTTAATCTAATACCTCGAGTATAATACGTAGGATAGCTAGGTATCTAATAAGCTAAGATCTCTCTAGGACTTAGATCCGGACCTAGATAATATAAGCCACTTCCCTCTCCCTACTCTAGCTCGACTAACCGCGGTAAGGCGCTTATCTCGGTCTAGTACGTGTACCCTACGCCCTAAGACGGTCCTTATCCTTTTACGCTATTATCGTACTGGAAAGTGCTAAACACACTTAATATCGAGTCTCTCTCTTAAGAGATTCGCTAAGAAACTCGATATCCAGGGCGAAGCGTCGTGCTAGGTACGTCTCTTATTTGCTTAAAATAGAGCTTTACTAACCCGGGCAGTATACGGCGATAATAAGTTTATAAAGGCGATACGGATAATAATCCTCGAGTATACTATACCGAAGCGGGATATTATATTCGCCGAAGCAGAATATAGGCCTTATAGCTATAAAAATATTATTAGGCTCTCCGCCCGTATTACCTCTAGAAACTTAGATATCACTATAGCATAATACTACTTAGTTCTTAGTTTCGAATATAGTCTCCTAGTTTATTATATACCCTTATTATTAGCCCGTTTCTTAGGTCGCCTAACCGTATTACTATCGCGTTCTAGTCACTTATAAGTATATAATCGTACCTTTAAGAGTTATAAATAACTACAACCGATACTATTTGAATTCTCTATATACTCTAGACCTATCCATAGATCCTTAGTCTTTCCTTACCGTAGTCCTACGCCTTAAGCTACTCGGGGAGTGAAGTTCCGGTATAGGATAGCTTATTCTCTACTTAATATTAGAATTAGGACGCTTACTTAGTCGGCTAGTCGAACTTACGATTTAGGATACTAGCGGGGGGAAATTCTTATCGTCTAAGGCGGCGAAATAGTAGAACTTGCCACGGTAGCGGATTACTAAGTATACGTCGGTACCGTAATTATCGTGAATATCGCGTAGCTTCCTATAGACTATATCTCTGCGTTATCGGAGTTTCGCTAAGAACGTTTTTAGGGCGCGCGATATTTCCGGCGTAGTAGTTATAATAGAGTGAAGGAGGATTTAAAGGAGAAGATTAATTTACTTACTATCTATAATCATTCGAAGGTTTACTATCTCTTAAATTTAATATATACTAAATATAGCGCTTATTTTCTAAAAACTGTTTTATAGTTATAGTATATATTATAGACGGTTCGAGAGGGGTATTACGAGCCTCCGTAGTGCTCCTATCTTCTTAATATATTCTCTAGTTATAGTGTATAACGCCTAGTTAGAAAGGAGACGGCAGGACGCCTAGCTAATAGATAGGTCTTTATAAGCTCTCTTAACTAGAGATATTAATAGTTATTAAGGATCTAAGATAGGTCTTTTATCGTTGGATGCCTATAGTTACCGAAGATACTAGTTCGTAATCGAATCGCCTAGCCACCCTGGGCAGTACTACCCTATAAGTTATACTAAATCCCCTCGGAGAAGGAATAGATTAGATAGATATATTTAACTACCTAAAACAGGGCTAAAAACTATACTCGTAATATATAGTGGAAGTACTATTTAATTAGGGTTTATGCTATTATAGGACTTATATATAATAGTGATATTAACCACCTAAAAACCCCGATATCGCCCGATTCGCCGTGATTAGCGACGATATAGAGGTAAGCTTAACTATCACGTGAATATACTGACTTCCGATATAAGAGGCAAGGAACTTTAGCATAACGAGCTTATATAAAGTGTTAAACGCTTTACGACGATTCTAGCTACTCTGATCCCCGAACTAATACTACCGCCGCGATACCGCTCGATAATATCCAGTACCCTCCGGGTTTTAGGCTTAAGGATTTTATAGCTTAGGGAAGTACTGGTCTTATTATTCTTAATACGCCTATATAGACTATTATTAAAACACCCTTAGACGAAGAGTCCCGCCCCCCTATCCGGAGAGAATAATAGATTTACGAGATGTTTACTAAACTAGGGGGATACTAGGGCGTACTATTATACCACGGCGATATTTATAGGAACGGAATTCGTCTCGTATATACCTCGAACTATAACTTGCAGTCCTTTATCCAAGGACAGAATATAAGTCCGGAACTCTATCTATATTAGATAATCCAGGTTACCGATACTCTTGATTTTATATATAACGTCGGTATTATTCACGGGGATCTTACGACTATAAACATTTTTTTAGACGATAGACTAAACGCTAAGCTTGCCGATTTTGCAGGATCGTTAATTGATTTATTACCGCTCCTCGTCTCGGTCACTTCTAGCTATAAATACCCAGGGAACCTATTATTAGTATAAGGAGATCTTTTCGCGTTTGGCTCTGCGATATACGAAATTATAACCGGGGAAAAGCCGTATACTATATTAGGCGAGGCTAATATCCGTGCACTATATCGGAATAAAGAATTTCCCGATATCACCTCTCTAGGCAGCCTAGGGCACGTTATCAGGATATACTAGGAAGGTAGCTACGATAATAGCAAGGCTTTAGTGAATAGGCTTAGTACGGTAAATAAGTGCGCGGCCCGACACGATAAATACTCCTCTATTAAGGGCGTTAGTAGCTCGTATCTCGAAGTTATATCGTTCTAGGTACATAGCACCCATAACGTTCTAAAACGCCTCCGTATATTTCCCTCAGAACGTGTTAGCTTAAGGACTCCTACGCCGGATATACTTCTTCGTCCCGTATAATCCAACCCGTGCGTCTTCGTTAACCATAGACTCGAAATCAACCTTCCACTGCTTACTTATTATTATCGCCGTATTCCGCTTATCGTTATCGTGCTGGGTCGTCTAGAGGGCGAGAGGAGTAAATGCAAGTACCTATAGACAGCGTTACTCTAGGTAGGATCATGATTAGCTTTAACCTTATATTCAGGATAGGCTAGATAATAAAATAACTCCTTTAGGTTATCCTAGTCGATCTTAAGAAATACGAATAAGCCACTATTCATTAAGTAGCTATATTCTAGTCCGGCCTCTAATATATAATAGTATATCTGCGTTACCGCCGCGGTTAAAAGAAGTTCTGCGTAGCGTTATATTCTGTCAGGGTACCTTATCGTAGGTAGTATTAAAAGGGCAAGAGCGAAAAAATGTCTAGTTATATAATAAGCATAGCAGATTTATATATATAAAGCTGGAAAGATAATCGTGTGAGAAAACTTAAGAAGCACGGTTTAAAGATATTAATAGGAAATAACTTCGTGTGCAGCGTATTGATTCCGGTAAACGGTTAGCTAGGGCATGCTTCCAGACTATCTGCTAATAATATATATAACGTATCTAAAGAGTATCTGTTTATCCTACTAGCCCTTAGAATAATAACTCCGTGAGTTAAGGTCCTCTAAAAATCGATTAATAGCTGAGTTATTATCTATATAGGCCTTCTCGGGATACTGCTTAAGGTTAACTTTATCGTGCGAAATATATCGGCGATTAAGCACGGTATCGGCCGTAAACGACTTCTACTAGCGCTCCTAAAGCAGGTTATAGCGAAGCGATTTAGTTAACTTAGTTAAACTAATATTACGGTAAGTAGTGCGAGGAGAGTATTAGCTATAGCCCGTAATAGCCAGAATAGGTTAGGCCGTGGAGCGAGGGATATTATTAATAGGCTTAAAAGATAAAGGTCAAACACCTCGCTTTATCGTTAGGGTAGCCTTATCCGAGTTATTAGGGGAAACCCCTAAACTAGAGCCCTGGTTAAACCGAGTAGCTAATATCGACTACGAAGCAGTATTATTATACCTCGTAGCACCCTTAATTTACTCTAGTATAAGAGTGATTAGAGAGCGACGTGAGGTTAAGCTAGTCTTAGAGTTAACACGTTAGAATATAGTCTTATCGTCTATACTCGTCTAGTTAGTATCGTTAATATAGTCTTCCTAGTCAGAAGAGTTATTATCGTCGCTAATAGCGCTCTTATCGTAATAGTCCGTTCCTAAGTCGCTAGTAATAATAGCGAGGTTAAGTCGGGGTGGAGTTATAAGGGTGGTATAAATACCTTTATTCTCTAAGAGGGTATATAAGCGCGCTATGTCTTTGCCCTTATTAGTTACTTCGGTTAGGTAATTATAAGAAAGCTTAGGTATATTGCCCTAGCCGGGCTGATACGCTTTATACTGGATATTATCTATAATCTGGATAGTTAGTGGCTGCTAGGATTCCACGAAAGGAACTGGATAGGCTTACTAGTCGATATAATGTTTGTCTGGAACGTATAAGAAAAAATAGGTAAAGAAGAGATGGCTTATAGCTGCGATAGATCCTGAACTTAACGGTAAAAGGGAGGGGTTTTAATATCTATTAACTCTCCGGATAAGGTTAAAAAATCTGGGTAGTTGCTGAATGTCTCGTGCCTTATCGACCCCTGGACGTAGTAAGCTTTAGCATAGACAAGATATCCCCGGCCGGGTTGCAGTCGTATAATAATAACCACGTAATAAACCGACCGGGAGCAACCCCTACTGCCCTTTTTTTTAGTTAAATCGAGGTCTAGTCTGTATACCGCTTAGCTACTATCGCGGCCGTTTCTCGCTAGGCTTGGGAGCTTAGCTAACTACTCTCTAACGGTATAGTTCGTTAAGATAAGCGGTAGAGAATAAGCAGTTGGTCAGGACCTAGCTCCATGACTTATATATATAGCCTTTTCGGTATAGCCTCCGCGAATAAGTCCGGGACTCTATAGCTTCTCCCCGCGATAAGCGAAGAGATCTTATAGGCCCAGGGATTTGATATCGCTATTAACCCTACGTTAGAAATTTATCTTATAGTTTATCTTAATCGAACCCGGAAAGACCTAGGCCGCGTTGTATATAATACCGAATAAGAATTAAGAGTAATTATATATCTCTTAAGATGGCTAGACGTCCTCATAGAATAGTTAGGAATGGTATGAATACGATGTAATGATATATCTAGCTATCCCTAGATTATTTCCTTCTCGGTATAGGACTGGAGAGACCTGATCCCGTCTTTCTGCTCTGGACTATATTATGACTAGTGCACTATAAACACGTTCGGAGCCCGTCTATGTAGTTCCTTCGTCGAATCCTAAAAGGCTTAGTTAGTTATAGCGTGGCTGAGACGACTCCGTTCCCTTAGCCTTAACTTACAGCTATTGTTCAAGGGCATTAGTTATACAGAAGCTCTGTTATACCGGAGAGTTCTAAGCCAGCTACCCAGCTCCCATGCTTTATTAGCATAACGAGGCTATTAGACTAGGGCGGCCGAGTAGGCTAGGATCACGATAACCTATATACGCCGGGCTTATATTATTTCTCTATTAAGATTAGATTAATACTATAGTATATGCTTATCGGTTTACCCTTCTATGTTAGCGACTGGGCCTTAGGTGAGGCACGTAGACTTCCTAATGGGATATGATAAAGACACCCGTATTGCACTGACAGGGCTGGCACATTGTGACGAGCAATACATCAACACCTATGCGGCTGAAAAATAACCTATAATTAATTCTGTTAGACTAATACCAGGGTTCTAGGAAATAAAAGGCTGTTAAGATTCGACTTGAAACGCTAATTAGGAAAGACTAAGTTTGGACGTTATGGATGTTGTGGACGTTGTGGATGTTGTGGACGTTGTGGATGTTGTGGACGTTGTGGA